CTGTGAGCGGGGTCGCCTCTCCGCAGATCTAACCTGAAACTTGGTCTGGTTTGGTCTCCATGAAGATAGAAAGTTTTAATACCACACTGTGAAGCATTCCAGACAAAGCAATACCATCTATATGAAGAAAAGCATTTGACGGACCCTCCACCAGAAAAGTTACACAATTCACCTTTAAAACATAATACACAATACAAAAAATGTACATGGCACTTTTCATTGTACTTTTGTTGTTGTTGTTTTTCATTTGTTTGTTAATTTTTGGAAAATCTGGAAATGTTACACACCCTCTTGATTCTCCACCTTCATAATACAAATTTAAAGTTGCACTGTGTAACATTTCTAGTGGAGGGTCCGCTACCTGCTTATCTCAACGCACACCTTAAGTTATATATGTCATAAGCTATAGAGTTTTACCATCTTTTTCTGAGTCTGTGAAAAACGATCTTTAGGGTAATTAAAGAATAATAATAATAATAATAAAATAATGCAAATATTAACATGACTTTTTTATGGTTATATATTTGCTGTATTTCAAGGTGCATTGTATAACTTTTCGGTGGAGGGTTGCTTCATCTGGAATGTTTCACAGTATGGCATTAAACCTTTCTACCTTCATGGAGACCAAACAAGGCCAAACAGAGGTCAGATCTGTGGAGAGGTGTTACGACCCAGCTCGTTTGGGGTGAGAGAAGTAACAAAAAATAAAACCAAGATGTAAAATGGAATAAATTAGATAATGTTTAATTGACAAGAATGTCAAAGTAAATTAACAAAAGACTAAAAATATACAGAGAACAATCTAAACTAAGAAACAGAACGAGAGAGTAAACAGAGTTTTGTGCCACAAAAGGGGTCACGCAGGCTTACAAAAAATGAGGGACACACATAAGGGACACACATGAAACCAAAACACAAGTTCCCCAAATTAAACCACATAAGCCCACAAACAGAATCAAGTGACCAAATCAAAAAAGTCACAAAACAGAACAAAACTAAACTACATACACAAAACCAAAATGGCATACTGGCCACCAAGGCCAGCAGCCCCAAACAGGTGCTGGTAATCTCCTTAAATAGGGGGAGGTGGCTGCAGGTGAGGTGGGCGTCGACCTGCCCCACCAATCACGGACCAGGGCTCCTGCAGCAGGAATCAAGAGAACTCGGCAAAAATCACACAAACAAATTAGAACTAAGGCTTGGGTCCGTAACAAGAGGCGACCCCGCTCACAGTCAGAATGCCTGTTTTTCTAAGTATTTTTGAGCTATAAAACCACCCGTAATTGAATAAATGTAAGGTAGAGCTGTTTAATGTCATACTGTGGAACATTCCAAGCAGAGCAATGACATATCCATAGAAACAAGCAGGTGACAGACCCCCAACCAAAAAGTTCCACAGTGCACATAATGACATGTTTTCTTAGACGAGTAAAACACAGTAGACATGTCTGGAGGAGTCTTTTCACGCTGTAGCACACAGGTCAAAGACAGCTCTGTTTATCACTGTTTATCTTTCACACAAGCCATCATTTATAAAAGAGCTACAAATCACCGCTCCGGTCTCCATGGTGATCCAAACATTAAGCGACTCCAAGTGTGTACAAAGTCTGGGAGTCAATGGCGTGTTTTATACAGCCTTATAAGCAGAGCTCAAAAATATGTAGTCTGTAATTATTTTAAATAGTACTTATGTGGAAAGGTATTCACGAAATGTGTGATAAAAATGTAAGAAAGTACACATAAATGTCAAATCTGCAAATGGTTGTAATTGCAGTTATTTATAGTACTACCTCTATAATGACATTACTACTACTATTACTACTACTACTATTACTACTACTACTACTACTACTACTACTACTACTACTACTACTACTACTACTACTACTAATACGACTACTACTACTACTACTATTATTACTACTACTGCTACTATTACTACGACTACTACAACTACTACTATTACTACGATGACTACAACTACGACTACGACTACTACTACTACTACTACTACTACTACTACTACTACGACTACTACTACTACTACTACTACTACAACGACTACGACTACTACGACTATGACTACGACTACAACTACTACGACTACGACGACTACTACTATTATTACTACTAATATTACTATTACTACTAATGTTACTACTACTACTACTATTAGTACTACTACTACTACGACTACTACTACAACTACTATGACTGCGACTACTATTACTACTACTAATACGACTACTACTACTAGTACTATTATTACTACTAATATTACTACTACTGCTACTACTACTACTACGATTACTACTATTACTACGACTACTACTATTACGACTACGACTATGACTACGACTACTACTACTACAACTACTACTACTATTATTACTAATACTACTACTACGACTACTACTACTCCTATTACTACTACTACTACTTTCGACAAAGCAAATGGGCTTTTGAATGAAAAGTATAAAAAAATAGTTTGTAGTTATTTAAGTTTTTTGCCACATATTTCCATATATCTTGCAGCATATATCTTGAGGTCTTCTGTGTGTACTAGTATATAAAGTATTAAAAATAGTAAACTTAAAGAAAAATACACTGAAAAAGAAAGAATGTCCAAACCTTTTGACTGGTAGTGTACGCTGAAACCGCCATTGCTATGCTGTATAAAACTTTAAAATGCACAGTTTGGGAAAGTCCGCATTTTCATAGACTGCATTTCACGCTATTATTGTACCACGTTACTACATTCTCTGCTTATATAATGATGTACCCAGGACGCCAACAGCTTTTACTACTCCCAAAAACACCACAATATTTTCAGTTTTGGATGCTATGTACAGTTTATAATGATATAGTATAGAAATTCACAACCTTGCTCTAGACCTTTCAAAAACACATTGTAAATAAATAAATGAACAAATCAAAAAGTGGATGCCAGCTTGTATGCAGCTTGTACGACGAGTCCAGGTCTAGTGCTATACTGAGAATGTAATTTCTAGTTCCTACAGTGCTGTGTGTTTAAACCCCATAGTTGACTTAAGACCTCACAGCGCCCTTATTTTAGCTACACATTTTCATAATTCATAATGTTTTATCCCAGCGGCCTTGGAGCGCGTTCAGAAATGTGTTCAAAATACATGCTTTGGAGTCTGGAGGCCATACAATGACAACAGAAAACTTGTATTTGTAGATGCAGATATGTCATGGGTAAAGTGAAGTGAAGTGAAGTATGTGTTATGTGAAATTTACTTCTCAGAGTTTTTGACGATGTTGTAGTTGTTCTCACGATTTACTTACAGTGTTAGAGTGACTTGAATTAAGAAAGTTTTATCGTGATTTCACAAAATTTCCTCCGCTCAATTTAATTTCTCTCTAGCGACTAGGTCAGGAATCAAAATACAATAGACGGTTCGCAAAAACCCCAGAAGTGCAAGTTCGGGCACCAGCCAATCAGCGAAGAGTGATATATTCAGTGTTGTCAACAATTCCCGAGATCGAAGATTTAAAGACAGAATAAAGAGAATGTTTGCTGAATTTTAACAAGGGGAAAGACGTTATTGCCCTTCTTCCTACGGGATTTGGGAAAAGCTTAATATACCAGTTATCCCCGTTAGCGGCGCATTACATACGTCATGATCAAATAGCAGCTATTGGTTAAATGATAAAAAGTTCCCGCCTACCGTTGAGCGAACAAATCTACGGCTGCGAGGTCAAACGGTTTGTACGAAGTGAAACGAAGTAAAACCAGCTGATGAATCAGGCTAGTAAATTTCTCTTGACAAGTAAAATGATCCAGCAATGGAAAGACTTTTTTGTACTTAAAATATGAAAATGTGTCTTACTAAACAACAACTCTTTGCACTTAAAATAAAAAACTAAATAGAATGTTGCCTGAATTAAGAAAAACTTTCCATTGGTAGATAATTTTACTCAAGTCAAGTTGAATCTACTCAAATAAAGTGCAATGTTTCTCATTTTAACTTACTCAGATATTCATTTTTGAGGTGCAAAGTTGTGTTTGGAGTATGGTACTGTATTTTTGGACTATAAGTCGCTCCGGAGTATAAGTCGCACCAGCCAAAAAATGCGTAATGAAGAAGAAAAAAACATATTTAAGTTGCTCTGGACTATAAGTCGCACTTTTTGGGGGAAATTTATTTAATAAAATCAGAGACCATCAACCAACATTTCATCTTGACATTTGTTCTTGATTACTGTGTTCTGCTGCATATTTCAATACTTGCAGCAGGACAGTGGCTTTTTCTCCAGGAGACATGCGCAGAAAACTGATACAGAAGCCTAGAGCGCCCTCTCGTCGCTGTCCTTGTGAAAATTTTAATGTATAAGTCGCACCAGAGGAGGACCAGCCAAGCCATGTAAAAAAGTCTAACTTATAGTCAGAAAAATACATTATTAGGTTCTTTTTTCAGACCAAGAGTTTGTTTTCATACCTGACAGTTTCGACTGCTCACTGGCGCTCTTCCTCAGAGTGGTTACGTGAAGTGTTTGGAGTGCTTTGTGCATGTTTGAGGACTCTTTATGTGTGGGTTTATATTTACTAAGTTTTACTGCTGCAGTTTTGCTATCTATCTATCTAGAAGTTTTGTTGCATTTTGCACAATGTCGATAAATGTAATCTCATTTTTAATCGCTTATTTTCAGGACGTCATTTTGTTTTCACTCAGCTCTGTACTTACTTTCTTCTCCCATTTTACTTTCCTAATCTGTGATAGGTGTAGGATTCAGCAGCGTCGTGTAGTTATTTTAGTACGATTGAAAAAAATCTGTGCAGCGATCCATCGGAGGTGCCAACAACTTCACAACGTCAGCTCCCATTGGGCACCACAGTTTTTTAACGCAAAAGTCAGGGAATTTGTTGTTATTAAGTTGTTTTAAATGAATATTGTGATTTCAAATGTGCAAATGATAACATAATGATCAATGCCTGTCATAGATTATGTATTTATATTTGTTTTTTTCTTGTTTAGGTGGAACTTTCGGACAGCACCTCTCACACCATCACTGACGCCTACGCTGGGAAGGAATACATCATCCAGGTAAACTTATATCAGCTTTAGTTTCTGTTTAGTTGGTTCGCTTTAGAGCTGGTTTGCACGTGTCTCCACCGACTTAAAGGACAGTGGACTGTGTAACTTGTCCGGTGGAGAGTCCGTCACCTGCTTGTTTCCGTGAAGATGCACCTAGAATATTCCACAGTTTGGCCATAAACTTAAGAATCTCTATGAAGACTTGCAAGACAAATTAAGGGTTAGATCTGTAGAGAGGCGACCCCACTTAGAGTAAGAATTCATGTTTTTTTAAGATATTTCTGAGCATTAAATAACACCTGTAGCTGAATAAATGTAAGACAGATTTGTTTGGATGCTATAAACCAAAGCATCTCCATGGAGACAAAAAGGTTGCAGAGCCTCTCCAGAGCGTTGCATCTTTAAGTGAACCGTACTGCAGATTCTTTATGGGGTCTGAAGTGGACTCTGGGAGGTACTGGCTCTCAGCAGTGTCTGGGTCACTTGGGCTTCCGGACCAGTTTAGATATAAGGAAGGGCTACACGATGAAACAAGATGACTGGACAGAGGACGCAGACTGAAGTGAAAACAAGACTCCACAGCACTGATTTGACCATTGTATTTCTAGCAGATGTTTCCTGTTTATTAGGGATGGGACAAGATCTCTCATCACAAGATCTCTCTAGACAAAACTACTCCAAGGTCGTGCACACCTAAGAAAAATGATCTGACGAGACTTATTTTCCATGTTTTTATGTTTGGATTGGATAAAAAATGAAGTTAAGTACTGGCGAGTTACATTTTTGAGAAGCAGTCTTTCAGTGACGACAGAAATATGAAATAAAGTAAATCAAAAATAGTGAACTGGACTGAGCAATGTCTATATTATAAATAATGTCAAAATCGCGTCTTGTCTTGTATATTCCACCTCATTGTGTCTCGTCTCGTCACTGTTTATCAGTGGACAACACTTGCGTAAACATTGAAACTATGATATTTCCAGTCCATAATGCATTAATCATAACCCAAACCCAATATCTCACATAAGAGATGTGAGTGCTGCCTAGAGGTGCAGAGAAGAGAACTTCATTTAGTAAAAGATGTCTGATGAACTGCCATGTCTCACAGAGCTACAAACTTGCAATTACCAAAAACTGCTAGAATGAATGCAAAGAATTCAAAATAGGCAGACATCAAAAATACATACGGTATTTTTTGGACTATAAGTCGCTCCGGAGTATAAGTCGCACCAGCCAAAAAATGCATAACAAGAAGAAAAAAACATATATATAAGTCTCACTTTTTGGGTGAAATGTATTTTATAAAATCAGAGACCAGGAACCGACATTTCATCTTGAAAGTCAAGTTCTAGTAATAACAATAGAACAGAGAACAACAGACTGTTAATGTTACATATGAACAGTTCTTCAGATAAACTATAACATAAACAACAGAACAGAACAAGTTTAACAAACTCTAAAATCCACTGAATTCTTCATCCTCGGTGTCACTTCTGAGCAACTCCACGGCCTCCGGAGGTAAACAGAGCAGCACTTCCTCTTCTGTGTCGCTGTCGTCAGACTCAGCATCAGTTCCAGTTAGAATTATTCCGGTCTTTCTGAATCCCAACAGGATGGTTTCGATTGTCTTTATGTTTGTTTAAAGCAAGGGTCTCCAACCTTTTTCCTCCGGTGAGCTACTTTTATAAAACAGAGATGACAAGAGAGCTACTCATTTTAGCGGTCACAAGAAATTGAGTAAAATATAAAACATAAATCATTATTCATTTATTAGTGTACAAATTTAAGCAGTAAAATGATACATGTACAATAGTAATAGGCATTTAAATAATCAAATTTGACTTATTCAGCATAATACTTGTAATTCATAAATCCCTTGGTGAGCTACTTGAAAGGGAGTGGAGAGCTGCCAGTAGCTCCTGAGCTACAGGTTGGAGACCCCTGGTTTAAAGTTTAAATTGTCACTGATACAGAAGTAATGGTGCGATCGACTGACATGATACAGACAGGACAGTGGCTCTTTCTCTTTCTTTTACAGCTAAGAGTGAGAAGTGACAGTGGTACAGGAGCACACAAGCCTAGAGCGCCTCTCCTGTCAATGTGAAAATTTTAATTTAATTTAAGAAATAAGTCGCATCGGAGTCTAAGTCGCAGGCGACTTACAGTCAAAAAAATATGTTACTGTCAAAATGAATAGTCCTATCAAGTAGTCCTAGTGAGCTTGGAACTTTGAATTCAGTTGAATATTCTTCATGAGAGGTTGCGTTACCAATCTCTCTAGTAACAATAGCAATGCAGTATGATTTAGACTGCTGTCACATTTTCACACAAACAGCAATTTGAGCAAACCTGGACTAAATCAGAACTAGAACAGGACAAAACCAAGTCTACTTCAGTCCTAAAAGTTGTGAAAGCACATTTAGATGACTGATGCTTCTCATTTCTATGGATATGTCATTGGTCTGCCTGGAATGTTCCACAGTGTGACAATAAACAGCTCTACCTTACATTTACTCAATCACAGGTGGGAAAAAGCAGGTGGCAGACTCTCCACCGTAAAAGTTATACAAAACTCTTTGAAACTTAAAACTTCTTTTTCTTCGCTCACTTTTTTTTTCACTTTTATAAATGCTATGGGCATGTTGATAATGTCTTTTTAACTTTATATATGCATTTTTCCAAGATTTATTTTATTTTTTTCAAATTTGGTTAAACATTTTGGTTAAACAGTAGTTGTTATTATTTTTCATTTATATTGCTTATGAACAAACTGGATTGTTCTTTTTAATGTTGTATAGGTAGTTTTTAGATTTTAGAATGTAATGATGTCATACTTTCAGATGGGGAGCAAGGCACAGTTTTTTCAATTAATTAAAATATCTAAAATATAAATGCACAAATAATATTGAACCTGATCATTTCAACAACTGACCAAAAACTGGACCAAAAACTAACTGTATTACAAAACAAATCTGCATTTTATCGATAATATTTTTAGTTGACTCCATCTGTATTAATTAATATTGGCCTATAGAATGTTGTGATGTCATTTGAAACCCAACAATTACTCTCGACTAATTTAACATCGTTCATTTTCTCAGGTGGCTGCTAAGGACACAGAGATCGGCACATGGAGCGACTGGAGCGTGGCGGTGCACGCGACCACCTGGATCGGAGAGATCACCTCCCCTCCCGAAGTGGAGCCGGTCCCAGGGGTCATCCCAGGTACGAGCGCACCCCTCACCCTGTACGATGGTGTTAGAGCGGGGCGGCCAAGATTTTACAGGCCCGTTCGCGGATATTTGGGGTCCCAGGGCAAGAAGACGCACATGGGCCCCCATCTAATATAAACAGAGAGAGTTCTAATGCTGGGGCCCAGGACAACAGACCCCTCTGTGTCCCCCGTAGAGTACCAGGAACAGGCTGCAAACTGGACAAAAAATGGCGCACAAAAAGTACAGAAAAATAAAATAATCAAATAATCAAACTTGAAGGCACTACACACAATTCAGTAGTTAATTTGTAAAAACTAATACCTCCAATTTGAAAATGTGCCTTTTCCATTTCACTGGTGTTTTCTATGAAAGTAATGATGTGTGGATTTGATGAAGGACAAATGGAGTAGTATTATTAATATTTTTATTGTAGTAAATCTGGATTGGCTTTTGAAATCACTGCTGTTACAAAAAGTCATTTAGCATCGTCAGACATATCTTTTTGGAAATGTACTCTTCAATTTGTAACCAGATTTCAACCAAATATAACTTAGATTTTTGCAATTTATATGACTAAACTGTACTTCAAAAGAAATGATAGAGATTAATTTAGTTAATTTTTCCTTTTTAAATGTCTTGACGAGATCTTAGAGTGAATCATTACAGTCAGAATAGAAAGAATTCAGATTTTAAAAGTGCTTCTCAAGTTTTCTCAAGTCACAGACCTTCAAGTCCAAGTCGAGTCCCAAGTCTTAGTCCGTTTTATCAAGTCAAGTCTCAAGTCGTAAAAATAGCGCCTCAAGTCTGACTCAAGTCCAAGTCACGATTTGCAAGCCCACACTTCTAATGAGAGTAACTATTAATTTCTCAGTATACTTTTCCTCCAATACTTTTTCTATTGCTCTCTTGTTAAATTTTTCTATTTATTAATTTGTTCAGTTTTATTTATCAAACTTTTTCTTAAAGCTTACAGGTCCTATAGAGCACAAAAGTAGAAATGCACTCTTCAATTAGGATCCAGATTTCAACCAATGTAAAAAACAAAACTAACAAACAAACAAAAAGAAGTTAATAAAAAATCTAATAGTCATGCTCCTCATCAACCATTTAAACAGTCTGCATTACTTACATTGGCCAGCAGAGGGAGACAGAAGCATTTTCTAGTTTTCTATGCCTAAACCTATTGACGATTTAGAGCTTTTTTGGGTTGCAAATTTTTGATTTTGCTTTTTTTTTTTTTTTAAGTTTAGTAGACCTAGTAATATATTAAAACTGTATTTACATAACTTTTTGGTTGGGAGGGTCCATCATCGCCTTGTTTCTTGTATGACATTAAACAGATACTTTACATTTACAAAATTACAGGTGGGTTTTTAGCTCAAAAATACATTGAAAAACATGTATTCTGACTGCGCCTCCCCACAGATCTGACCAGTAACTTAGTCTGGTTTGGTCTCCATGATGATAGAAAGGTAAAATACAGACAAAGCAGTAACATGTCCATGGAGAAAAGCATTTGACGGACCTCAAAAACGTAAACATATGATTAAAAATATAGAATTAGTGCTAGTTCTGGGTTCTATTTAGCTTACTGTATTTATTTATTTGTTCATTTCTTTTCATGGTGTTGCATCCTTTCTTGTTTTCATCTTTTTGTTCCAACATTATTTTTGGCCATAAAACACAAAGTTAGCATAAGACAAAGTACAGCATTAACAACTGTATGGAAAAGGGACAGTGATACTTGCAGCACAGTGCTTTGATACATAAAGATACCTCCCTAACTCCACTTCATCCTCTTCTCATTATCTCTGGGGTTATTGTATTTCCAACTACACCATTTTTATTCTACAAGTGCCATCAGTCCTCCCTTTATGTTAACACTAGTCTGGCGCTGTCCCTCCATAAATCGCCCCGAACCAGTTAGGTATGAAATGAAGTTTGCTTAATAACTTTCTTTATCATTACACAAAGGCACAGTGGAGAGCGTTTTCGAAATGTCCTGAACTTTTTATCACCGGTTTAAGCTCCGGGATACACGCCTCTGCAGACAAATGGCCGGTCTTAGCTGTAACGCGCCGCCCCGAGAGAAAGTAGTCCCGTGTATTTGATTAAGCGTGCGCGTCGAGCTACTTGATTGCATAGTGGTTTTAAAGAGGGGGAGTTATGTGAAATAGATTTTTTGAGCTTTCTACCATGTTATAATGTTGTTAGCTCACCAGAAACATGCCTGACATATTTTTAACGTCATCCATGACAATTCTAGACTGATTCATAAGCCGGTTTCACTTAATGGAAACCGTCTGACCTTGTTCGCTCGATGGTAGATGGGTACTTTTTTTCATTTAACCAATCGCTGCTATTTGGTCGTGAGGTATGCAATGTGCCTCTAAAGGGGCTAACTGGTATATTAAGCTTTTCCCAAATCCCGTAGAAAGAAGGGCAATAACGTCTTTCCCCTTGATAAAATTCAGCAAACATTCTCTTTGTTCCGGCTTTAAATCCTCGATCTCGGGAATCGTTGCCAACACAGAACGTATGGCTCTTCGCTGATTGGCTGGTGCCCGGACTCACACTTCCAGGGTTCTTGCAAACCGTCTAGTGTATTTTGATTCCTGACCCAGTCGCTGGAGAGAAATGAAATTGAATGGAGGCACTAGGTTGCATCAGCCTGGCTACGACAATTCTCCATAAATATACAAAAGCGTGATACTAAAGTGTACACAACAACTTGACAATCCTGATGCGATGTGCCGTAGTTTCAATAGCGGGATGCACACATATTGTGTTGTGATGCCGCGCTGAAGGGGGAGAGACTTAACACGGAGAGCAAAGGGACAAAAGACTCAGAACGTCAAAAGTGAAAGTGAAACATGTTAATATGTTGTTTTCAGCGAATATAGCATTTTCAAAAATGGTGAGTGTGTGCTAACGCTAGTGGCCAGTGTAATTTCAAGTACTACGTGACATCACTCAGGACTGCCCTGATTACAGCCAAGTGTTTCTGCTTACCAACAGCAAGACGCTGAGGCGGAGTTTGAAGTGTGGATACTTCTAAGACCAGTCAAAGTCTTCCTTACACCCACAGACCTCACCCCTCCTCCCCAGTTTAGCAGCTCTTTTTGAAATGAGGTTATGAGAGGCAGAGGTGGAACCAAGTCTTTGTTTTGCAAGTCTCAAGTAAGTTTCAAATCAGTGACCTCAACTCTGAGTCAAGTCCCAAGTCAAATACAGGCAAGTCCAAGTCGAGTCTCGAGTCACTGGCTCTTAAGTCCAAATCAAGTCATCTGCTTTGAGTCATTTCAAGTTGTTAAACCATCTTAGATTTTTGCAATTTATGTGACTAAACTGTCATGGTATATTTATATATGAGTATTTATAGAGTATATAAGCGTTGTAGAAATTAATTTAGTTATTTTTTCCTTTTTAATTGTCTTGTCAAGATCTTAGTGTGAATCATTACAGTCAGAATAGAAAGAATTCAGATTTAAAAGTGTTTCTCAAGTTTTCTCAAGTCACAGGCCTCAAGTCCCCAGTCAAATCCCAAGTCACTGACCTTCAAGTCCAAGTCGAGTCCCAAGTCTTAGTCCATTTTATCAAGTCAAGTCTCAAGTCGTAAAATTGTGACTCAAGTCTGACTTGAGTCCAAGTCATGACTTGCAAGTCCCCACCTCTGATGAGAATAACTATTCATTTCTCAGTATACATTTCCTCCAATACTTTTTCTATTGCTCTCTTGTTAATTTTTTCCATTTATTAATTTGTAAAATTTTATTTATTAGACTTTTTCTTAACACGTAGATGTCCTATATTGCACACAATGGACTCTTGTGAGCTTTAAGCCTTGATAAATTATTGTTACCTTCGCAAAAACATACCCGGTGTTGTTTTATGTTTCATTGAGTATTTCTTTATTAATAATCTGTCTGCATCTCCAAAGCTCTGAATGCTCTGTTCCACCTTGTGATGTCATGAATGCTACTTTTTACCTTTGGTTCAGTAGAGATCGGCAGTTCAGGTCTGAAAGTATCCAAATGATTCTAGTGAAGGTGTATGAAGTTTAAAAATGCTTTCCATTTGAGAGAAGAACTAACCTAACCTAATGTTAAACAAGCGTGAATGAAACAAAACACAACTCCAGGTATGTTTAACATAATAACATAGAACATCAGAAAATAGAGTAATGTGGGCCCTTTAAATTTCACACATTGAAAACTGAGACTGTTCCGGACCTTCTTTGCTCTGACCTGATCTGAACCAGCGCGTGTCTGCTCCTCAGACTGATAGATGATGATGGGATGCTCTGATCGCTCATCTGATATTTTGGTTTTCCAGGACAAATGCCTCTGTCTTCTGCAGACTCATGCCCCAGTACGGCTCACGTCTCTGGGCTGAATTTGAGCGCACGGTGGGGTGGTCTGATCCTGGTGCTATAAAAAAACTGTATACATGCTCACGTAACAGGGACCTTGCTTCCTTACGGCGACAAAAATCTGGTCCTAATGATTTAAGTCCTTTATAGGCTCTATTCACGCTTACTGGAAGACACAACGATACTTTGCATGAGATAAAACCATGGATTCAGCTGCAGCAGTCTTCAAAACCAAAGCTTTCCATGGGGGATGTGACTTTCTAATCATATCTTCAATGTCACTCACAGACAGGTGCAATGTCACAGTGGGATCTTTTTATTTATTTATGTATTTTTTCATTAAGTTAGACAAATTATAATACACATATTAATAGGCAATTTATAAAAGGGAAAATGAAAGAATACAAGGACATCTAGATCAAGAAAACCGGGACATTTTCTCAGTTACTATCACCAGCAGAGGAAGTCGTCATCCACATGCTTCCAAACGTTTTGTGACGTAGCGTGAATAGAGTCCATTATTAGATCAACAACAATGTTTAAAGTTCAAATATGGGTTAAAATAGGTTATGGTTAGGGTAGGGTTGGGCGGTATCGACATTTTGATACTGTTAAACCACCTCAGGATTTTACCGGGG